AATAGGCTAGACTAAGCAGAGAAATTTTCATTCACTTACTTAGGTTGTGTTATCCCCGGTAGTTACCATCTTCCGGTAGCCTCTAATTGATTAAACATATCAACAATTACGATTGACAGTTTGAATCTAGCAGTAGATGTGAAAAGCCTAGTCTAGGTGATCAAGCTAAACAAGACTCAACAAATCAGGGTTAATAATTCAAAATAACACAAACAATTCCAAAAGATATTGAAATTATCAACCAGAAAATTAATCAAACATTCATCGAGTCTTAGGGTTCAACTTCCCCGGAACTAGAATAAAAGAACTACTCACTACTCATAATGTTCAATAACATGTTCATAAAATTAACTACACGAGAAAAAAAAGAAGAAAAGAAAAGAATAAATCTTCTCTGTTTCAATCCTCTCTGTTGTTGTGACTCGCGATCTGCTCTTTTTTCCCTTTTTCTCTGAACAATTCCTCCTTGTATATGTGTATGTCTCCGCCGTCAAAAAAAAATAAAGGAAGCTGCCCACTTTTCAAAACCCCTTTTTCTTTCTTATTTTCCAAGCAGCGGGCCCCTTCACATTAATTTCCCACATAAAGTTAGCCCAAGTATGTGTCCACTTAGACAAATTCAGCCCAATTATATGTTCACTTAGCCCAATTCTTCAACTTAAGTAAATTCAGCCCCACTTTAATTAATTGCAGCAGAGTACTGGGGGCTGGAACGAAATGCTGGGTACCCCAGTACTACATCAAACAAAAATCTGTCGAGCTCACGTCTTGCATTCAACGTCGTCACTTGCTAAGAATAATCCCAAAACTCTGAAAACACTCAAGAAACTCATCAAGGCACCACAATCGATCATAATGTTAAATAAGTCGAAAATCATATAAATGCGTGTAAATAAACGTGCACTATTACAAAATTAAACAATCAAAGCGAGCACGTTTCTCGACTAATCATGCATGATGTCATATCCCACTTCAAATCTACCCCAGGCATAATATATAATGGGTACGTACGTAGTAGGGCTCTATAATAATATGTATATATATGTATGCTTGAAATTTGGAGGTTAACAACCCAACCCATGAATGGAAAAGACAGCGTGAACGTGTTTTGACTATGATTTCGATCATGCCAGAACCTCTCTCCGCGTTTCTGGTCCTGTTACTTTTTTATTCGTTTTGGAGCGAAAATATATATGTTGTTATCATATAATAATGCTATTATAGTCTTTATGTTTATAATTGAAAAGAAATTATTAAAAATAGTATTTATACTTCACATGATTATAAATAATATTTTTACGAACCCTTAGATAGACTATATTCTCAACTGACCGTTATAAAGGAATGAAAAAAGAAAACGCAGTGAATACATATTATTTCTAATCTTCCAATAGTAACAATAATAATTAAAGGGTAAAACAAATTAGGAGGAAGAAGCGGAGGTGTGAAGTGCGACGAGAGAAGCATAGGAACCATCTTTGATATTGATGAGCTGCGTGTGCTTCCCTTTCTCAACAATGGCCCCGTTCTTGACAACCGCTATGAGGTCGGCCCCCTTGATTGTGGAGAGGCGGTGGGCCACCACTACGGTGGTGCGGTGCACCATGATGTTGTCTAGCGCGTCCTGCACTATCCTCTCTGACTCCGCGTCCAGAGCGCTGGTGGCCTCGTCCAGAAGCAGTATCTTAGGGGCCTTCACGATGGCCCGCGCTATGGCCACCCGCTGCTTCTGTCCCCCCGACAGCTGCACCCCCCTCTCCCCGACCACCGTTTCGTAGCCTCCGCCGAGCCCACTTATGAACTGGTGCGCATTTGCCAGCTTCGCAGCAGCCACAATCTCCGCCTCGCTCGTGTCACCGTCCTTGCCGTAGGCAATGTTTGCGCGGATCGTGTCGTTGAACAACACCGGCTCCTGACTCACCAGACCCATCTGCTGCCTCAGCCATTTCAACTGGAATCTCCGTATCTCCGTCCCGTCTATCGTTATTTCGCCTGAGTCCGGGTCGTAGAATCTTTGCAGCAGTTGTATTACAGTTGATTTTCCGCTGCCGCTCTCCCCAACCAATGCCACCGTCTGCCAGGAAATTTAAGGAAAAAGTGAGTACTAATTAGGAGGAGGAGTGATGTTGAATAATTAATGAAATAGTTAGATAACAATACCTTGCCGCTGCGTATTGTCAAGCTCAGGTCCCTAAATATCTGAACATCAGGCCGCGTTGGATACTTGAAACTCACGTGCCTCAGCTCGATTTCACCCTTCATGTTCTCTAGCGTCATCCCCGACTCGTCACTGGGATCAATCTTTGATTTCCTATCCAGGATCGCAAATATAGAAGCAGCAGCACTCTTAGCTTTGGTTGAATCAGGGGCCAATGAACTCGACTGAGAAATTGCGACTGCTGCCATTGTCAGAGCAAAGAAAACCTGCAACACCAAACAATCCCATAAGAGAGAAATGTTATTGAGTGTGTCTATATATATATAATCACAATGAATAATGCATGATTATGCAAGTTCAACTCACCCGGAACACATCATCAAATGTGATCTTTCCATCTTCTACAAGTCGAGCTCCTGCATAAAAGCTAGTGGCATAGACAAGAAAAAGCAAGGCGAAAGAAATGCCAAAACCCACTCCACTAACCAATCCTTGCCTGACCCCATTCTTCAACGGCCCCTCACACTTGTTTTTGTACATTTCCATCACCTTCTCCTCCGCACAGAAGGAAGCCACTGTCCTTATGCTCCCAACTGCATCATTCGCGATCTGACTCGCCTCCTCATACATTGTCTTTGCATCCGCACTGAAACCCTTCATGAACTTGACCTGCACGAACCCACTCGCTCCTATCAGGGGTACCATTGCAAGAATGATGAGCGCCAGCTGCCAACTGGCTTCAAAAGCGATTGCCAGCCCAACAGTTGCGGACGATAAATCTTGAACCATTTGCGCAAGCGAGTCCCCCACGAGAGCACGCACGCTGGCAGCATCGGCAGACAGCCTGGCCCCAATCACTCCGCTCGAGTGCTGCGCCTCATCAAACCATCCAACTTCCATGTTCACCACCTTCTTGAAACACATCAACCTAATTCTCTTTATCAACTTATTCCCGGCCACCCCAAATAGATAGGTCCTCGCCGGATACGCGATAAACGATGCAACCCCGAGAACCAGAAACATTAAAGCCCAAAACTTAGAATCCCTGCGTAGCACATGCGGCGTGTCAAAGAATATTTTGATCACGCTTGAAATCAGTATTCCAAAAATAGGCATTATCGCGCCATTAATAATGGCAGACAAAGTTCCCAAAATCAGTACGGGTATCTCAGGCTTATTTAGGGCAGCGAGACGGCGTATAGGGACAGGTGGAGGCTTTTCCTCAAATGTTTCGTATTCATCGCCTTCTTCCAAGTGGGGGTCAGCCATGTTGTTAAGTGATGTCGGCAGACCAAATGACACCGAAATTGAATGGCGGCGGCTGCTGCTGCTACGTCCTATGGAGGATCCTCTGCTGAGGGAGCGCTTCAATGAAGACATTCTTTGACTAGACTGTCGGCCATAGTCCATGGACGATTCAGATCTTTCCCTTTCATTTTCAGAATGCTCCGAGTTTTTGTTTACATCTTGTAAGCGTATGAGCTGAGAATACGCTCCCTCAGGATCCTGAAGCAGTTCGGAGTGCGTGCCTTTCTCCACCATCTTACCTTGATGGATGACTGCAATCATGTTGGCATTCCTAACTGTGCTCAGACGATGAGCAACAATGACAGTTGTTCTGTTTAACATAATCCTGTCTAAAGCCTCTTGCACGACCCTCTCGGATTCTGCATCCAGTGCGCTCGTTGCCTCGTCTAAAAGTAAAATTCTCGGGTCTTTTAGGATGGCTCTCGCGATGGCTATTCTCTGTTTCTGCCCGCCAGAAAGCTGAGTTCCATGTTCACCAACCTTTGTATCTAGTCCCTGTAGTAAAAGAGGAAAAGTCAAAACATTGAACACAATATTAGTAATATTTTTGCATGAGCAAGCACAAATTAAAGAATGTTATTATTTGTACAGCACAAACAAACCTGGGGCAGTTTGTCAATAAACTTTGAAGCATTGGCTAGTTCAGCTGCCACTCTAATTTCTTCATCACTGGCATCTTCCTTCCCATAAGCAATGTTATCCTTAATGCTGGTTGTGAAAAGAACAGGTTCTTGGCTGACGAGACCGATTTTCGACCTAATCCACTTGAGCTGAAACTCTTTGAGATTGGTCTCATCGATAAACACTTCACCTGCTTGTGGATCATAGAATCTCTCAATCAGACTTATGACAGTCGATTTCCCGCTCCCACTCTGTCCCACCAGAGCAGCCGTCGTGCCACTTGGGATGAACAGAGAGAAGCCTCTGAATATTTGCTCGTCTGGTCGAGCTGGGTAGCTGAAGTGCACGTCTCTTAGTTCTATGTCCCCACGTATGTCATGTTGTACTTTCCCCCTGGTATCATACGCGTCTATCTCGGGCTTCCTACTTATGGTTTCAAACATCTTGTACGCTGCAGCTTGGCCTGCTGCAAATGCCGTCATGCATGGAGAAGCCTGCCCCAAAGACCTTAAAAAAAAAATAATAAAAAAAAAAAGAAAAATCCACAAGTTTGAATATGTAATTCGTGTTGTCAACTCAATGTATGTCAGAAAATAAATAATACTCACATGGAACCAGTTAGCACAGCAATAATCACATTGAGCACCTCACCACCCGTATAACCCCTCTCCAAGATCATCTTTGCACCAAACCAAATAGCCAAAGCATAGCTGCCGAATATAATGAACATAACGGATCCAAAACCGAATCCACTGGCCCACCCTTCATGTACTCCTGATTTGTAAGCCTTCACAAGGGATCTTTCGTAGTCAGCTACTGCTTTCGTTTCCCCAGTGAATGAAGCAACCTAGATACACATATATTGTCCTCAACCATTACACTATCTATGCAGGATTAAAACAGGTCAAGAAGAAGAAAAAAAAAAAAGAAAAAGAAAAGCCAACAACATCAGTGACATACAGTTCTAATGGAGCCAATTGTCTGCTCCACCACAATTGCAGCCTTAGCATATGCATTTTGTCCCTGGGATGCCATCTTGGATAAGACGATGGCTGCTATTCCACCGGATATCACAAGCAAAGGAATGGATGTTAACATGACAAGGGTAAGAAGCCACCCTTTAATAAATGCAATCACAAAGCCTCCAAGGAATGTTGCTACAAGCTGTATAAATTTCCCAACCTGCAAAATTATAAAAAGGAAAATAGTAAATAATTAAAAATGGAACATGTCTTCGGATGAGATGAATAAAAATGAGGGACAATTATAATCAGTAAGTGTCAAAAGGGTCTTTGTAATTAAAAACCTTCTCGCCCATGGCATCTTGAATTAGTACAGTGTCACCAGACATTCTTCCAACGACTTCTCCAGTGTTTGTTTCCATATCAAAGAAGGTGACATCTTGTCGTAAAATTGTTTTCAAATAGAGGCTTCTAATCCGTGCAGCCTGCCTTTCTCCAGTGATCATCCAGCAAGCCACCTCTGTTTTTAATAATCAAAAGACAAAAAAACAGGTGTTTGAGTTTCTCTGATTTGAAATGTATTATTAATTCAATTATGTTTCCTGACAAACACTTTATGAAATTTATTTGTACTTACGAAGGAATGCTGCAACACCACATCCAATTGCCAAATACACAAACTTGAGTGCTACCTGCAGATAGGATTTTGCAAAACCAACATGAAAATTATCAGAAAGTGACCCTTTTTGAAAATAATAAAAATAATAATAATAACAATAACAAAAACAGAAAGTGTTACAAATGTCAAAAGCCTTGTTCATAAGAGAGTTGAGGAGGAGGTGCTTACCCTTGAAACAACTTCAACAACACCTACTCGTTGATTCTCACCGAAGGAATCAATCAATTCTCCAAAAAGTATAGTCATAAGAGGAAGGGACAAGCCGTTGCCGATGCCACCAATGGTGCCAACAATCATCAAAATTTTGTCTTTGGAATCAGCAAAGGCAAACAGCTTATAGAAGGGCACCGCATTAGTCTCCTCCTTTTTCGAGTCATCGCTTGCATTGCTGGCATGACCTACAGATGTGGATGCCTCATCATCGTTGTTTGTTGACATGGCCGTGTTGGGCACAAGCTTGATCAACTTCTGTTATCAAGCGCTGCCAAAATCAGAGAAGAAGGAAAAGAAATGATTATTACACAAAAAGCTTTAATATGTCACAGCAGCTCAAATATAAGTCAGCTATGAATTTCACTAACAGATTCTTGATTGCCTGGCAGAAGACCAATCATTTAATTAAAGCCTTGAGGCCGATTAACAACACATTGATGATTAAGAATCTAACTGAGAAATGGAGGACTTAGAAAAAAATAATGTCACAAAGGTTAAACAGAAGAAAAACCCATATATAACCCACACAAGATACCAAATAGTAAATGGTGCTAAAGCTGACACAAAATTGATCAGATCTTCTTTTACTTTCCGCCAGGCATGAAATGAATACACGAAAAAAAAAATAGTAAAGTAAACAAAGAAAGAACACCAAAAGAGAGAGAGCCGCTTACTTGAGCTAACACCAAACCCAGATCACAGATT